CAATTGAAAAAATTAGATGAACATCCACTTCCTGTTTACTGTCGAAAATGCAGATTTGCAAAGAAAAGTAAAAGACAAGGGTCAGTGTCCGAACACCATCCTCATGGGTACCATTGAAATGATGAGTTCAATATACTAAGTAACTGTCACAAATCTAACCACATTCTGTGGAAGGGAGTCCCAGTCCTTTTTTTTTTTTTGCAGGTTATTTACAGCAATCTTTTTAGGTAGACAACCCATTCAAATTGTAGATGAAGATGACAAAAATAAAAAAATAAAATGCACTCACTTAAAGGTACACTATAAGCACCCAGACTACTTCATCTCAATGTCCCTATTGTTTTAACACTGCCGTGTAAAATATTGCTGTTCTGCAGAAATGGCAATGTTTACATTGCAGGTTTGAAATACCTGTAGTATCTGTCATGCTGACTGCCACTAGAGGTGCTTCCACAGAAATAGCCAAGTAAAACCATCATATAGACCATCTGTATGGCACAGCATGGCATTTTTCTGCACATGCTTTCTAGCCTACCAATGCTTTCCTACGGGAAAACATTGGATTGGCTGAGATAATCAAAATTTCTGCTGATCTCAGCCGAGGAAGGGGGTGATTGGGGAGAGAGCAGCACAGTGTGGGCTGAAAGTTAACCAAAATGGCTTTTCAAACCTAGGGGTTCACTAAATCGGTGACGTGGACATTATAGCTTTAGGAATAAACATTTGTATTCCTAATGCTATCGTGTTACTTTCATTTGAAGCCACTCCCCCTGGATTTAAACATTTTGGGATGTGGAAGCAAAACATATTTTTCTAGGCTGGACGACAAAATATTTTTAAATACAGAAACAAAAACAACTCTACTGTATGAATTTTAATGTTGTTTTTGAATTTCACTTAAAGGGACACTATAGGCCCCCAGACCACTTCCTCTCCCTTAACCCTTAAATATTGCGGTTTTAGAGAAACTGAATGGTGTACATTGGAGTGCTAAGACTGTGTCTATTAGACAGCCACTAAAGGAGTTTCCTGTAGTTTCACATAGTCTGACTCCGTGATAAGAACCTGGGTGTCCTAACACTGCATGAGGACATCCAGTATCAAGTAAAACTCCATATTAAAGCATTGATTCAATGTCTGCTTATGGGAAAAGACTAATGCGCACGTGGAACTCACTGGACATGCGCATTAGGTCGCCCCACCCCGACGTCAGAGCGAAATCAGGTAAGTGACTGAAAGGATTTTTAACCCTTTCATGGATGGGATGGGAGCACGGTGACTTCTTTTGCATTCCTAACACTAAGGTGCTTCTCTAAAGCAACACTACAAATTTCAAACAGAAACCCATATCTTACTAAAACACCCACTGATTTAAAGCCTTGGTATCCTCCGTTAATATTTATCTGTCTGATACTTAATTACCGATATTTATAATTACACCCTTTGGAAGTCTTGACTTTAAACCACTAGCAATCAGTTTATTTAGAAAATTCGGCAGACTAGATGGGCCGAATGGTTCTTATCTGCCGTCACATTCTATGTTTCTATATGTTTCTATCTTCATTTTTAAATCGATAATGAAGTAGGCTCCATTTAATTAACCCCTTCTTGACCCAGGGCTTGCCAGTACTGACAAGAAATCCAAGGACATGTTTGAAAAATACAGGAAAGTTACACATGCCCTGGTTAAATAACCTTTAAAATCTTTATTAGAATTAACTGAAATTGCCAAGAAAGGGTTAGTGCAATCCATTCCGAGAGTTAGATGATATTTTTTCTAAAATCAGTACCTTTTCTCCACCTCTCCTATTGAAAAGTATTTTTTAACGAAACATTTAAACACTTCATAAAAACCACTTTGTTTCATGCAATCCCATTGTGAATTATCCGTTATTGCTCTGGAAAAAGTTACCTTTTCTTTAAGCAGATGCATAGCATGCCATGGACCACTTTCTGTCCCCTCCCCTTCTTTCCTTTTTATGAACTACAACCCCTTGCTCGCTGGAGTCTCCTCTCCTCCCCCCTCCCTAGCAGGGAGAACTTATTCCATATTAGAGGATCAGCTTTCTAGTTGTCTTCAGCGCTGCAGCTGAAAGCAAGTTCCTTGTTAAAGTAGCTCAGTGAGAGGGAGTTTTGTGCCTTGCAGAACTGCAGTGTTGACTTGAGATATTGAGGCACAAGTGCATCTGTTAGTTGTTAGTGCTTGGCAGAAGGATTTTTTTTTCCCCTGTAGGGATAGCTTTGACATTGACTTGATAATGTTTGTCAGCTACCTGTTGTTAACGTTGCTCTCCTTTCAAGATACAGTGTTGGCAAGACCTGGGGTAGAGGTAAGTTACGTTGTGTCTAAAGTTTTTTGTCAGATGTTTTCCCACTGCATAATCTGATGATGTGTTTGTCATGCTTGCTGGAGAGAAAGAGCCTGGTTATTTTAGATTTAGCACTGGCAAACTGAACCTGACGTGTTGAAGAATTTAGAAATGTACCGTTCTTGACATTTTCAAAGTAAGGTATATTTTATAAGCATCACGTTTCGCACAGGATGTGCAGACAGTTTACGTCTTACAGACTACACATATATAAACTTGTAGAAAAGTTTTATATATAAATATATTTTTTTTAATTTCATATCTAATTTTTTTTTTAATATTCATGCCCATTTGGAGTGGTTTAGAGTTTTTTTTTTTTTCATTAAACTATTTGTAGTTTTGTAACGGTTTACGTCGGTTATAGCAGAACAAGAATATTGTTTATTTTTACCATACCAATGACCTAGTGCGATGTTTGTAGTGTTAACCTATTTCTGAGTTGTCTGCTTACCGAATTCTAAACTTTAGCAGAAGAGTCTTGATTTATTCAATAGCTAAATAGCTGTGCAATTTTAGTAATGGTGATGCAATTCTTTAAATGGCGTTAAATATATGTTTCGTAAAAAAACTGAATGCATATGTAACTTGAAGTATATGTCTTTCAACATGTTTTGCTATAAATACCTTTTTCGCATTGTATTATGATTTACCATGAGAATAATGTAAATATGATCCTTATATCTATATAACTAGAATAACGTAGCTTGATTTGATCCTGAGGCATCTATTAATAAATAAATCATCTGTGAGAATTATTTTTAAAATGGACACTGCAATCACCATAACCGCTACAGCCCAGTGGTGGTTATAGTACCATGCTTGCCCTTCTTCATCTCACAATAAGTAGTAAAACATATTTAGCATGGTTTGATGACTTATCTTGGTCCCTTGAGCACCGCACTACACCCAATGTTCTACTGCAGGAACAATTCACAGGCAATTCAAGAGTATATTCACTAACTGTGAACACTCGGCTGATGCTCTCAGACAATGAGTGCAGTCAAGCATGGCCCTGCTTAGTTCTGTATAGCTAACTGGATTCTCCTGTAAGAGAAGAGCAGGGGCTGAGGGAGAATTCAGATACCCAAAGTAACCCAAGTACGCTGTAAAACCATTTTAAAATGGTTTGACAGCTTAGTACCTTACCCTGAGATGGCAACAGGACACCAATGCCCCCCTAACCACTACAACGGGTTTCCGTGTTTACGGTGCTTGGAGAGTTCCTTTAATAATAGAACTTAGAGACATTGATCAAAAGTTACAATACCTCAGATTTGAAGGTTCACTGAACCTTTAACCTTTATCATATAAGATAAGCCTTTGGGTTGAAAGTAGCATCTAAACTTAGATGTTCTCCAGAGGTCATCAAATTCCTACCAGAGTGATTAAGCAAGAAACGCATGATATCCGTGATGGACAGTAAAGCGATGGTACCCCCTGTGCCAGGGCTGAGTAGAATAGTGACAAAACTCCCAAACTGAGTTCAGCATAAGACATGGTACCATAAGCCAGAAGTTAGTGCAAGCCCAGGCCAGTGCACTTAGAAACTGGGATTAGCCAGACAAACAAGCAGGAAAACAAGGATACTTCTAGAAGTGGAGTCACTTGAGGACATCAAGTAAGGATAGAAATTAAGGGATTATAGCAGTGGTACCACTGCTCACACTACATCCATACTATCTTAACTGCAGTGATAGCTGTAACTGCACCTAAGGAATGTAAAACGGTCACATCCATTTTGGTTAAGGTTATATCTTGAGGTGAATTATTTACCCATTATAAATATTATTGGCACATTTGTTCTTCTGAGGTTAAGCTATTCATAACCATGTAACTGCTCTAAACCACCACACTCAATTTAATAGTCCTCCCACCCCATATATTCTCAGCCTGAGCAAGGCTGAGTCACACTATCTCTGAACCCCAGTATTTCATACTCTCATATTTCAACAACAAGCTCTAAAACTGTGAGGCAGTGTGTATTCATTTCTGAGTTTTGGCTGATTATTCTTAAAATCCCCTTCCCACTCCTCCACCCTTTGCATATCACTCTATACTTTGCTAGCCCACGGCAGTTAAGCTCTTTTGATATTTGTCATATCATTGAAAACATTGATGGTTGCTGATATAAATATACATAATTATATAATATGAGATCGTGGTAAAAGTTCATGAAGTCAACCGACAACTCACTCAGTTTTACTGTAAATATGCAGAATTTCATTTCATTTCATTCTTAGGGGTAAACCTGTTACGAAATACTGTTACTCATTGTAATATTTAATCTTTCTGTCTGCCTATCTGTCTATCACATTGCGTAATATATAAATAATGTTGCGTTTGTTTAAAATCCTACATTGCAGCTAATGTACACTGTTCATGTTGTTGACACATGCTTGCTGTCAATCACATTTCAATTAAAATTGAATGATGGGGACGTGGGGAGGTGGTTGCAGTCATAGGTGTAAATGTTTGCAAGGAAACAAGAGTATAATGCACACACTAAAAAGGCGGAATACTTCTTGCAGGGTACTCCAGATAGGGAGGGCCAATCGCTAAGGAGAGATCCAATAGAAGAAAATATATATATCCAGGCACACCTAAAGATTTCTTCTAAAAGGCAGACTTTTTATCAGGATCAGAAAAGTGGAGACAACGTTTCGGCTCCTCCCTTTTTCAAGTCTTGGTAAAGGCTCAGAGAGGAGCCAAAATGTTGTCTCCACTTTTTTGTTCCTAATAAAAGTCTGCCTTTTAGAAGAAACCTCAGATGTCCTGGATATACAGGGAGTGCAGAATTATTAGGCAAGTTGTATTTTTGAGGATTAATTTTATTATTGAACAACAACCATGTTCTCAATGAACCCAAAAAACTCATTAATATCAAAGCTGAATATTTTTGGAAGTAGTTTTAGTTTGTTTTTAGTTATAGCTATGTTAGGGGGATATCTGTGTGTGCAGGTGACTATTACTGTGCATAATTATTAGGCAACTTAACAAAAAACAAATATATACCCATTTCAATTATTTATTATTACCAGTGAAACCAATATAACATCTCAACATTCACAAATATACATTTCTGACATTCAAAAACAAAACAAAAACAAATCAGTGACCAATATAGCCACCTTTCTTTGCAAGGACACTCAAAAGCCTGCCATCCATGGATTCTGTCAGTGTTTTGATCTGTTCACCATCAACATTGCGTGCAGCAGCAACCACAGCCTCCCAGACACTGTTCAGAGAGGTGTACTGTTTTCCCTCCTTGTAAATCTCACATTTGATGATGGACCACAGGTTCTCAATGGGGTTCAGATCAGGTGAACAAGGAGGCCATGTCATTAGATTTTCTTCTTTTATACCCTTTCTTGCCAGCCACGCTGTGGAGTACTTGGACGCGTGTGATGGAGCATTGTCCTGCATGAAAATCATGTTTTTCTTGAAGGATGCAGACTTCTTCCTGTACCACTGCTTGAAGAAGGTGTCTTCCAGGAACTGGCAGTAGGACTGGGAGTTGAGCTTGACTCCATCCTCAACCCGAAAAGGCCCCACAAGCTCATCTTTGATGATACCAGCCCAAACCAGTACTCCACCTCCACCTTGCTGGCGTCTGAGTCGGACTGGAGCTCTCTGCCCTTTACCAATCCAGCCACGGGCCCATCCATCTGGCCCATCAAGACTCACTCTCATTTCATCAGTCCATAAAACCTTAGAAAAATCAGTCTTGAGATATTTCTTGGCCCAGTCTTGACGTTTCAGCTTGTGTGTCTTGTTCAGTGGTGGTCGTCTTTCAGCCTTTCTTACCTTGGCCATGTCTCTGAGTATTGCACACCTTGTGCTTTTGGGCACTCCAGTGATGTTGCAGCTCTGAAATATGGCCAAACTGGTGGCAAGTGGCATCGTGGCAGCTGCACGCTTGACTTTTCTCAGTTCATGGGCAGTTATTTTGCGCCTTGGTTTTTCCACACGCTTCTTGCGACCCTGTTGACTATTTGAATGAAACGCTTGATTGTTCGATGATCACGCTTCAGAAGCTTTGCAATTTTAAGAGTGCTGCATCCCTCTGCAAGATATCTCACTATTTTTGACTTTTCTGAGCCTGTCAAGTCCTTCTTTTGACCCATTTTGCCAAAGGAAGGGAAGTTGCCTAATAATTATGCACACCTGATATAGGGTGTTGATGTCATTAGACCACACACCTTCTCATTACAGAGATGCACATCACCTAATATGCTTAATTGGTAGTAGGCTTTCGAGCCTATACAGCTTGGAGTAAGACAACATGCATAAAGAGGATGATGTGGTCAAAATACTCATTTGCCTAATAATTCTGCACTCCCTGTATATTGTTTCTTCCAATAGGTGTAGATGTTGTCTAACAGTGCTTATCTTCCCATATAATCCTCACCCAAGCTCCCTGATGGGATCTGCAACACAGAGAGCATGTGCTTGGATCTGACAATATTTCTCTCACCATTCAATTTGAGTTAAACCCTTTGTATAGGGAACAGGGAAAAGTGATGACTGCCATGGAGGGCACAGATTGCCTATTCCACCCACTCGACCACCATAGATTTTTCCTTTTCCTTTCCACAATAAAGTTATGCAATTGACGGGAGGAAGCAGGAGTGAGATTGAATGAACTGAACAAAATATATATTCATGGCTGCCCTGGGCGATTTTCTTATTTAAATGACATGTATTTTTTCAAAGCATCATATGTTTCAATACAGTGTATACTTTTCACTGTGGATTTATTTCTTGTAGGGAAACCCCAACAGGAATATTAATAATCTTCCTGCATGACTCGAAGGCTAATTCTTCCATTATACCCTTCTGTACTTGGTAACCTTCCCAATTGTCTTCTTTGCTATTTCTCCTCCATTTTACGAGCATCCTCTGCTTATATCATTATCCTTAAAAACCACAAATCCCATGTAACAATCTTTCCCATAACTCTCTAGTGTGTTCACACCCAATTAATTTCCCCATCCTCAGTAGGCAGCAGGAATTATTGATTCCATAGGGATAACAAAGACAAAAAATGGCAAATGCACATTGCAGTGACATCGTGCAGGTGTGCTGGTTCATGTAGCTGTAGCCAAGTATGACATGATAGAGCCCCCGCTGTATAGCCCTGTACTAACAGTAGAGCAGTTAATTGGTAAGTAAACAGGTGCTTTAATAGTTACTGATACTCCATTTTGTCTGCATTGCTTCACTACTAAAAGGCAACATCTGGACATTTGGTTTTAAAATAAGATATTGCACATATAAATCCCTAATAACTTTAAATAAACCACAATATTCAGAGTCTCTAAACATATGCAGGTAAATAATAAAGCTCCTTCTGTTGTAATCTGTAAAATGAAGGAATGCATTCCTCCGTGAACCATGAAAAATGTTTCACCTGGTTAAAACTTGCATTAAGCAGAATAATGTCTGCTACACAAAGTCACATGTTCTAGATTTTGGGTTCTAAATGTCCAGTAAGTGAAATGGAATTTATACTGGCTGTGTTTGAGTCACTGATATTTTTCCTCTAACTGGTGTAAAAAAAAGTAGCCTATGACATATGACGTAGTTCCATTTAATATGATGCACTTCTAAAGAATTCTGTGAGCATTCATTGTTTTTTGTTTGTTTTTTAACATGATATTTTAATTTAAAGCAGTAATGCTACTAAACCTTCCTTTTAATATAAAATAATATAAAATAATATAAAATAATATTCTCAACAAATTAATATTTTCTTTACTAAAACTGTATTAATAGATGTAATTCCCACTTTGAGATCTGACATGTTTTCTAGCGTGTTGGTGGCCATCTTGCCTTGCAACCATGAAAATTTCATGAAAACCATGAAGATAATGCACCAGTGTCATGTTATGTCAGTAGCCAATCACCAGTTATGATTTGTTCATAAATGAGATTCATAGATCTTGGCATTACACTGTATGGAAAAAGGAATCTATTAATTTAACTCTCTAATGATACTAAAAATAATGTATTATTTTCTTTTCTATTACCATAAAACAAACCAGCAGAACATATTTAAAATGACTACCTTTGACTACCATGTATCTAGTGCAATTTGATAATAAATAAACAAGTTCTGATGAGAGAGCCACTTTAACTGTAAATTATCCCTTTACTCATTTATCCACAGAAAAGATGTATTAAAAGGAGACATGGTTAAAAAAAAATTGATGTATATTAAACATCCAGAGTTTCATAAAAATAGGGCCCTAATCATAAATAATTCATCAATGCAGTGACCTACTCATACGAGTCCCTGACTTCACTGTATAACACAGTGTGGGTGTTAATCAAGATGTGCATACTTTTTAAATAAATATTCATCAATAATGAATCCATGTTCTGGCCTCTTTCTACTGGTAGATAGGTCATTTTCATAGTTAAAATTCCTGTCTCCCTGGCAAAAGCAAGTTATATGCTAAATTGGCTCTCAGCCAATCAGCCATCCCTACATTGCAGGGGCCTAGATCAAAGCTTACTGGAGGAAGCGACTAGTGCCTTGTAGACCCCAGGTAAGTTCACAAAACATTGACAAATGATCTGACTACTTAAACTAGGAGGGTCAACAGGGCTATCCTGGCACCATAACCTCTGCAGTACACCATTACATTGCTTTTACCATTGTGCATATTGCATGTACATCAAGCAAATGAGGCTTTTTAAATTAAAATAGCAAGAAGACTAAAAGAAATGTTTGCTGAGCTTGATATCTGCCAAATATCATGGGTATTTATTGAAAACGGTATACACCATCCTTATAGATAGGATGTAAAATAACATATACTGAGAGTTTGCAGCTGGTAACTTGTCTTTTCCTTAGCTGTGATTGTGTAAACCATGGAAATGAACACATTGTCAGCTGTGATACTTTATGCATTACGTTTTGGAATGTATCCGTTTCTGTTTTTTGTTTTCTATCTGTGTCTTTAACCCCTTAAGCACGGTGGGTCTTATATGCTGTCCTTAAGGAGCCGAGCCCATATGCCATAGAACATCTCCACCGTCCATCCCACTTACCCGATCCTCGCCGTTCCCCCACTGGCGATCGGTGTCCCTACCGGTCTGGGGGGACTGTCTGAAAGCCCAGACAGTACCCCCCTTGGCAAATAAGGCCCCCGCGGGCCATGTGATCACTCTGAAAGAGCGGTCACATGGCCGCAGTAGGGGTCCATAGTGCTGCCTGCAGGTTGACTGCCTAAACTGACAGACCGTCCCCCTTGCGTCTGTAAAATAAGAAAAAAATATGTTAATAATAATAAGTTAATAAATAAATATATATATATATATATATATATATGTGTATATAATGTCAAACTAAGTGTATTTTTATATTAATATATACATATATTAATATAAAAATATACTTAGAATTAAATTACACACACACATATATATATAAAACTATATATATTGTGTATATATATATATATATATATATATTATAAAATATAAATAAATAAAAATAAAAAAGTAAAAATAATAAAATATATATATATATATATATATATGTAATTTTATTCTAACTGTATTTGATATTAATATATATATATATATATATTTTTTTTTTTTTAAATAGGCTTAAAATGAAATTATATATATATATATATATATGTATGTATATATATATAATCTGTGTATATTTAAATAAATAAAAATAAAAAATATGTATATCCATATTCATAATTACATAATTTCATA